TTTACCCTTGTATCTCTCTCTCTCAAAGATTTATTTATCTTTATTGGAAAAGCAGATGTATAGAAAGGAGAAGAGACAGAGAGGAAGATCTTCCATCCAATGATTCACTCCCCAACAACCACAATAGGCAGAAGTGCACCAATCTGTATCCAGGATCCAGAGCCTCTTGTGGATCTCCCACACTAGCACAGGGTCCCAAGATTTTGGGCAGTCCTCAACTGCTTTGCCAGACCACAAGAAGGGGACTGGATGTGAAGTAGAGTCACCAGGATTAGAACCAGGGCCCATATGGGATCCCAGTGCATTCAACATTAGGACTTTAGCCACGAGGTTGTACAGCTAACATCTACTAGATCCTATCATGGGAAAATTCCACTGTCTCACCTGCATGCTCATCACAAGAATGCTTGAGTGATTCTCAGAATTGTTTGCTTGGCTATCTGTGCTAACTTTCAGGAATTGAGAATGCATATCTTGGGCCATTCCCCAACCGCAGCTTCCTGATAGTGTGTCTGGAAGAGGCTGAACAATGCCATACAGGGGAGATAGATAAGCCTCCGGGAGAGAGGGTGGACACAAGAAAAGAATATACAAACAGCAGCATTTTCTCAATAAAGTAGCATTCTCCTTACACGAATGACCCACTGTCTGTTGTCCTTTTTTCAACCCTAGTTCCTCTGCTCAGCACGGGGAACACTGTAGCGCAGACGTCGCCGAGCAACTAGGGTACTGTGCCGGACCCATGCTGTGTTTCTAACTGCAGGTTTGTTAAGCCCACCTTCCCAGAACACATCTGTCCCTGCCAGGACCAGGACACATGCTCAGACCCCACAGTATTTGTAGATTCTTTAGGGAATCACCCCTTCCTTAAAAAAGAAGTGGAAGGTAGGTTAGGTTGAATGAATTTTGGGTCCCACTGCAGTTGCCTTGGCAGACCAAAAGCTTGTTAGGGGCTGCTCAGGGTCTAGGGTGTGAGGCATCTAAGTTTTAGACTGACAGCCTCTTTTCAGCTCTCAAAACTGAGCCTGCAGTGTGGCTCCTCCCAGCATGCCCAGCCTGAGAGTGCAGCTGTACCATCTCATCAGAGGAATGCTAATTCTTTGTGATAGCTTTTATTAGGGTTTGTTTGCTCATTTGGGGATGATAGTTTCTCTTTCTCTCTCTAATAATCAAAGTCACAAGTTGAATCAAATATCTTCCTGTTACCATGATGACCAACTGCTTTTAGAGATGAAGAAGTATGAAGCTGATGCAAAGAGATAAGGAAGAATCAGAGGGAAGAAAGAAAGAATGAGCCATGTGTTTGAGCTGCATTCACTTGGACTGCAGTATTTGAACAGGCCAGCAGGTGTCAGCAGCAAACACAATTCAGGAATGCCTTCAGCAAGGAGCTTTGATTTTTTTTTTCCCTCCAAAGAATCCCAAAGAATCAAAAAGGTCAATAAATATAAATCTCAGATTCCTAATTAGGACATCCTGGACCCTTGGGATTTGCCCCAACTCCCTTTATATGGGTTCATCTCTTGTCAGTTCAGTCACCCATTCAGAGGTTTTTGAGCACATATAGGTGTCCCCATTCGCACCAACCACACACATACAGACAGTCATGTTGATTTCCACACAAGCAGACTTGAAAGACTGTAAAAATTAGACAAGAAATGGGGTATTGCAGAGTAAAGCTTCAAGAACACAAAGTTTGATTCTTTTCTTCCTGAGTTTTCCCTGACTCATATCCAGCCACAAAACACCATTGTCTCAAACAAGTTTCAAGGGGAGCATATTTCTGCCGAGATTTTCTCTGAATGGCACAGCAGATAGAAATGAGTTATTAATTCCACTGTTCTCTTGTTCTCAATGAGGTCTCCATTTTGCAAAGATGACATCACATCATCAAATCTCAGACACTTGTTGCCAGTAAAATTCCAACAGAAATTATATTTAATTTGAAAAAATGCAAATTGTAACAAATTTGTCTTCTTTCAGAATATTCTGAGGCTCAAAGAATGCTCTTATCTTATTCAGCACATGAAGACACTCTGTGGAAAGGCACTGCCCACTCCCTGCTTCCTTCTATTGCCTAGATAGATCATCATACCAAAGTCACCTGAGAGTAGAGCTTGAGTTTCCCTGCCTCTGTAGATTCACTCACACTTACTCTACTCAGAGGTGTATAGTTTTAGGTCCTAATATAAAACAGTCAGTGGAAATTGGAGACAGCAACTCTCTTCTAGGGGCTGGGAGTGTTTTGAGAAGGAGGAGTCAAAATGTCAATAAGCTGTTGTACTGGTGCAACCATGGTTTTTGGACTCCAATAGTTACTATATAATCAATCTTTTAAAGATCATTCTGAGGGAGGATTAGCTTGGGATATAGTGGTATGGTTAGCCATGAAAGGCAGCACAAGACTGGAGAATATTTAGGTGAATTCTGGTGCTTGGTGGAAGCAGGTCAGTCTTGAACTTTTTGGTTGGTGAGTCCTGGGTATGAAATGTTCCTTCCATGTACTGTTAGAGTTGGTAGTGTCTGCAGAGTCTGGATTGTTTCTCACTCAGAGGTCTAAGTTGTCTTCTGTGGAACTTGAAAGGGGCTACTCTGCTTATTTGCTCTGTTGTGTCAGGTATGGTTGGTATTTTTATTACTTTCTTTTCTGGGATGCTGCAGAATTTAGAGTCTGTACTTTTTTCAGTTCTTCAGAATGTTGATCTGACTGAGGTTGCACTGTAGAAAAGCTCACTTGTCCCTGAGAGCTTCACGTTTGCCTTAGGTCAAGGTGTTGTGAACTTTCCTGAGGATCTTATAATAAGGCAGGACCATCAGATCTGTAATCTGACTCACATCGGAGCTGGAGTCCCAGCCAAATAAATAAAGTCTAGGCTAGATTTTGTCAGTATAACCTTATTCTTGATATTTATTGAAAAATAATCTCACAGAAGTGTGACAAAGAAAAAACGCAGGATCTTGGAGCAAATTACAGGTGTTGAAAGAGTTCAGTTGAAAGATTTTCAACTGAGGTCTCCATTTGGCAAGGTTGGCATCACACCAGCACATCTCAGGCACCTGTTGACAGTAAAATTCTTCAAAGATTTAATGCACAGGCTGGTATGTAGTGATGTAGCTCATGTAATTGCAAGAAACGTACAGTGGGAAGCCATGATGCATGGAATTGGTGTGAATCTGAGAAGTAATGGCAGCACCTGATATATAAATTTCAATTAATATATAAACATCAAGAGTCTGATGACAATTTTTACATGTCTGGGATATACCTCTAAGAGACTAAGATGTTTCATGACCAGCAAGCCCTGAGATCATTGAGTCAGGCTATGGTGTTCTTTGGCAGCAGAACCTCAGGAGAGAAACTGGAGAAAGATGTGTTTATTGGGAAGATCTTACAAGCTTCTATAGAATAGAAAAGGGGGGAGGTAGAACATTGCTTTCAATAGCACGCCCACCAAGCAAGGACATTGTAACTTGCTAGTAGACATGCCCATTTCTCTGGACCTTTGACCCTAGTCAGAGATCACATATGACACCCAAGTTTAGAAGCTGTGTTTCAGGTCCCATGCAGTTAGATCAAGAAAATATACCACCTGGGATGAAAGTTATGCCTTGGGGCATGATCATTACAAATGACTGGTCAACAGGATGAGGGTTGCATTTAACTTCTTATTAGGGAAGTTCTTGGAAGCACAGCTTCTCCAAGGACAGAGAAATTGGGTTACAGCCCACTAGCTGCATGCCCTTTGAACAGGCCAGGTTGGAGTCTCAGTTAGCCAAGAGTATTGTCAGGGGATTTTCCAGGGACGCAGTATATGTATGGGTTCCCACATAATTTACTCATGCAGAGATCCAGGGGTGATCTCCTGCACTAGATTATTAAAGGAGACAGAGATCAAATGAGATCCAGATTTAGCTAAATGACACAGACAATCTCCACTTCAGACAAGATTCAGCCTTCACAGTTGAATCTTTAGTGTTACATTTGCCACATGCATCATTATCTGTGATTCGAATATTAGCCTGTAGTACAATGTAGAGTTTTGAGTTTCTAAAAAAGCTATAGTAGACCAATCTGTAAACGATAACCATGGAATGCAAAACAAGTCTTATTTACAAAAAGCATTTATTATGAACATTAAAATCTGAAAGCAGAACTCATTTACATTTTCCACCTCACAACAAAAGATCATGAACAAGTCACATTTGAATGATTTTAGCAGCACATAGTCTGTGTTTTGAAAGATGGTAACACCTCACATTTATCATTTAACACTTGCTGAGAGTTTCAAAGTGTTTTTCTATATGCATTGCACTTTTACAGTGGTGTCCATTTGCACTCTTGCTAATGCTCATTACATTCACTTTCTAAGCTCCAATAGGTTATGGCATCAGCTTTATGGTAGCTAGTTTTTCTGTTTACATGCTTTTGAATTTCTGAGCTTCATGGTTCTGCTCATGATTGACATTCAAAAAAGTGATTTTTCAGTCAATGAAATGATGTTTTATTCATTTCTGTGGGTATGTTATTATTGATGTGGTTACACTTTCTACTACATTCAAAAATGGTTATTTATAAATTTTTCCACACTTGTCCATAAATTTATGCTGTGAATGTTTTTCCATACTCATTATGTATCATCTTTGTGAATTTGCTCATGTAAAATGAGACCTGATTGTAGGTAAAGGCTTTTCCACACGCACTACATTTTAAGGCTATACTCTATGTGGGTTCTGTGATGCAGGATTAAGTGTTAGCTAGCTAAAAGTTTTCCCACTCGCTACTTTAATCACATTTTTGCCCTGTGCTAATTGTCTAAGTCTAATAAAATTTGTGGGCTTCTGCACAGTCTACATTCATGATTTTCCCATGTAAATACTCATATGACCTGAAACATGTCTGCAAAAGGATTTTCCACCCGGAAGACATCTATAATAATCTATCCCCTGCCCCCACCGTGTGGATTCTCTGATGTTCAATGGAGACCTGAGTGGTAAGGAAACTAGCTACATATGTAAGGTTTTTCCCCTGTGTGGACTCTGTGATGCATGATGAGATTAGTCTCCTGAGGAAAAGCTTTTCCACACTCACTACATCTATAAGGCTTTTCCTTGGTATGAATTATCTGATGCCTAATGCAAGCTGACTGGTGTCTATAGGCTTTTCCACATTCATTGCACTCATAAGGTTTTTCCCCTGTGTGTATTCTCTGATGCACAATTAGGTTTGACTTCCGAGAAAAAGCTTTTCCACACTCACTACATTCATAAGGCTTTTCCTCTGTGTGAATTCTCTGATGCATGATTAGGTTTGACTTCTGAGAAAAAGCTTTTCCACACTCACTACATTCAAAAGGTTTTTCCCCTGTGTGGATTCTCTGATGTCTAATGAGATCTGAACGGTCTCTATAGGTTTTTGCACATTCACTACACTCATAAGGTTTTTCCCCTGTGTGAATTTTTTGATGCCCAGTTAGGCTTGACTTCAGAGAAAAAGCTTTTCCACACTCACTACATTCATAAGGTTTTTCCCCTGTGTGGATTCTCTGATGTCTAATAAAATCTGAACGGTGTCCAAAGGCTTTTCCGCACTTGCTACACTCATAAGGTTTTTCCCCTGTGTGGATTCTCTGATGTCTAATGAAAGCTGAACGGTGTCCAAAGGCTTTTCCGCACTTGCTACACTCATAAGGTTTTTCTCCTGTGTGGATTCTCTGATGTCTAATGAAAGCTGAACAGTCTCTATAGGTTTTTCCACATTCACTACACTCATAAGGTTTTTCTCCTGTGTGAATTTTTTGATGCCCAGTTAGGCTTGACTTCCGAGAAAAAGCTTTTCCACACTCACTACATTCATAAGGTCTTTCCCCTGTGTGGATTCTCTGATGCCTGATTAGGTGTGACTTCTGAGAAAAAGCTTTTCCACACTGGCTACATTCATAAGGTGTTGCTCCTGTGTGGATTCTCTGATGTCTAATGAGAGCTGAGCCTTCACTAAAGCCTTTTCCACACTCACAACATTTATAAGCTTTTCCTTCTGTGTGAATTTTCTTATGCATGATTAGGTTTGACTCCAAAGAAAAAGCTTTTCCACACTTATTACATTCATAAGGTTTCCCTCTCATGTGGATTCTCTGATGTCTAAGAACAGCTGAGTGGTCTCTAAAACCTTTTCCAGACTGGCTACATTCATAAGGTTTTCCCCCTGAGTGGAATCTCTGATGATTAAAGAAATCAATATAGCTCATGAAGACTTTTCCACACTCACTACCTTCATAACTTTTTCCCCTTGTGTGAAGTGTCTCATGTCTTTGCAGAGATAATTGTTCATCAACGGCTTCCCTAAGCTTATTGTATTCATATTTCTTCTCTCCAGAGTGAAGAATCTGATCTCTTGTGAGTTCTGATTTCTGGTACATATTTTCTTTACATTCATTGCACACATAAAAATTTTCTCCTGTGTCAGTTCTCTGCTTGGTGGTAATGCCAGATTTACAGCTAAAAGATTTTGTACAGTAGCTGCATATATAATGACATTTTGCTGTCTGGCTTATCTGATTCATTTTGACATCTGCTGTATACATAAGAGATTTCTCACTCTTAAAATGTCCATGGAGTTTCTCTCTTGATTGTATTTCCTGACATTTGCCAAAATAAAGTTTGTTGTAGAACATTTTCTTCTCAATTTGAATTCTTTCTGTCATATTGACAGTTTTTTTATGACATGGCTCTTTAGTATAAACTTGCTCACACATAAGGAATATCTTCTTCCCACTGAAGCATTTTTCTTTCTCATTGTGTTCAAAAGACCGTAGACAAATGTGTATCTTGTCCTGTTGAGTGAGACATTCCATACTCCGGAGGCTATTCTCAGGAACAGTAGGAGAGCACTTTATCCCAAATGGGATTTTGTCAGGCTTCCTATAGAAAAAAAAAAATTGAAATATATTATGGAGTCTCTCCAAGTCTCCTTTCATGAGACACCTCAACTCTGGCATATAAAAAACATTTCTTAATCTTAAGCCGGAACTATGTGGCTTGACTCAACAGAGAGAATAATGCACAACATTTGTAAGCCTTCTATCAAGTCTATATGTACCAATAAAAATCACCATTGAAACCAGATGGCTCTGCAAAAGCCTGGAGAGTGCACCCACTCAGTGACCCACACAATCACCTCCACTGCCGAGTCTGGCTAAAACTTCAGATCGATTATACTTTCAGGTGGGTGCAGGTAGGAAGCACAGAAATTTAAGACTTAAGAGGCTGTAATCACCAACCTGCTTCTTCTGAGTCTCCCATGAAGATGTCAGGTTGAAAGGTTTGAGGACGTCTGACTGTTTTCCTGGTCCAGAAGGAGTGACCAGGATATTAAGTAAGGCTGCCAGGATGTGAACCAATGATGATATGTGGTCCCAACAAGTGCAAGGTGTGGATTTAGCCACTAGAATACCATGCTATGTTCCTGGGTTTGATCTTTTGCAATGACCTAATTGAGCCTTTCGATGACACCCACTACAGTACCTAGATAAATTGAGAAAACCTTTTTCTTTATTTTGTCTCCTCTCTCAATATGATTACTGACATGGCTTCCTGTCTCTGAGATCCAAACAGCCATAGAATGGCAAAGCACATTTCAAATGTGCAGTAGGAGCCATTTCCTGTCTGATAGAATGAATGGGAAATGTCTTACAAACAGGTTCCTGCCTAGACAAGGAAGCATCCTGGGACACTTAAAAACCCAAGACACTTTGCTGTCTGCCTCTTTCTACTCAAGAGGCACACCATCTCCTGGCTCTCTCCCAAGAAATGCTATTCAGTTCTCTCTTCTTTTTACATTCAATTGGTCACTTTGCAAATAAAGCTTCTATCTGCAACTATACATACATATATATTTATAATATGTATATATAGGTTATACATATATATTAATATACATACAAACAATTAAATCATTTCACAAATGTGTTTTAATATACAATTTTCCTTTCAGTTCAGATTTCACTTATGGTCTGAACTAATACTAAGCATCTTTGGAAATGCCTCTCTCTTTGGAATTATTATAAAATTTTTGTCATTACAACTTGCCTGAAGATTATGTCTGGACTTTGCTGATTATCTCCAAGCAGCTCATTCTTTGTGTAGGGATCTGAAATGAGAAAAAGAGTAGCCATATCCATGAATCACACTGAAGAGTTTCTTCTCCAATGCTCAAGGAATGTCAATGACGTTTGTTGCCATGTTAGATACAGCAGATTTTAATATTATTAAAATGTGGACATTTATGAACATTATTTATGAGCACTACATCTTTTTTTACTAATGTATTCATATAATAACTTGTTTTAAATAAAAATTTCAATTATTTGGAATTGTGTACTTTTAGTTGATATAGGTCAATACACAGAATGTGGCACAGAACTTGAAAATGAGGCTTGGGGTTTCTTACATCCCATAACCATGCCAATGTTTCTTGTCTTGTCTATGCTGCTTGAAATACAACTTCCTGAAAATGTATCTGGGGAGATGGCAAATGATGATTTAAATGCTTGGGATCATTGAAAAGACCAATAAATAGTTCTATCTTTATGGTTATAGGCAGGCAGAGTTTGAAAGGCACTCCAAGAATAAGCCTAAATATGGAAACTGTAGAATAACTGTTTCTCATCAGCTGTCCTTTAGAAAGAAACATTTTTTTTTTGTTAATAACACTGTATTATATGATACAGTTTTATAGGCACTGGGATTCCCCCCATCTGAAATTAGGGTCTGAAATTAGGACCGCTAATTTCTGAAATTAGGATTGCTACCCCAGCCTTTTTTCTCGTCCATTGTCATGAAATATCTTTTTCCATCCCTTCACTTTCAGTTTCTTTGCATCTTTTCTGGTTAGATGTGTTTCTTGTAGGCAACAGAAAGAAACTTAAAAAAGAAAAAAAAAACATTGGACAATTCCATTCAACATGGAATGGGTTATGTATCAATTTCTTGCCCACTATGTGCTGACCTACCTGAAAGTCCCTGGTTGACACAGCTTTCCACTGTTTGTGGTGCTGATTCTTGCTCCAATTTGAGGATCACATCAGGCTTTTTCATGTAGTACCCTGTCCATGGAAATTTATGTAAACATTGCAAAATCACTACTAGTTTTATCAACTAATAAACTTTAGGCATTCTTCTTTCATTTGTTATCTATATATCTATACATCTTTTCTGCTTGGACAGGACAGAATTTCACTCACCCACAGACAGCAGATTATTATAGGTCTCAAGCATCACCTCTCTGTATAGGGTCCGCTGAGTACTATCCATAGTCTGCCATTCCTCTGGGGTGAAGTCCACAGCCACATCTTCAAATGACACCAACAGCTGTAACAGCACATGTCTCCTCAGTTCAGGTTCACCAAATAGAAATACTGACAGTTCATTGTCTGTATATTTAATTTGGAACTCTTCTGGATGCAGCTTAAATTACAATCAATATGGCATCATAGAGTAACAACAAAATGCAAATCTCTTGTCCTGTATTACTTCTGAAATTCCAGTACTTCAACGGAACATTCCGTATTCTATTAAAGTTTGTTCTATAAGCATTCAGATTCAATGAATTGTTGAAGGTACCACTAGAATACACTTTTAATTACTCCTCTTTGGCGGGCATCTGGAATATTTCCATGTCTTCTCTATTGCAATTGTACTGTTCTAAATATAGCATTACACATCCCTTCTCCTATGTAGTTTTCATTTCCTTTGGGTATATTCCTAGCAACAGGACAGATGGGTCATACGGTCATATTGCAGGGTTATATGAAGTTCTCTAAGTACTCTACATACTGATTTCCATAGTGGTTGTACTAGCCTGCACTCCCACTGGTAGTTGGGAATTTGGGGAAGGATCCCAGAGCCTACAAAATTATACCATAACATTGTAAATGAAAAAAAAATGCAAAATATACATTTCTAGTAAACACATCACTCTCAGCTTGTCCCTGTTATTGCCATTCTGATCTTCAACTAAATTAAAATCAATAACAATAAACATTCAGCCAAAATATTAACTCAGGAAGTATAATAGTAAGCTGAGTATAATTCTTCTGGGTGTGTTTGATTTGCAGCATCTGCATAGAGCTTAATTTATAATCTTTTTAGCAACATAGTGTAAAAACAAAATAAAATATATTGTTCTATATTATTTTTGCAATTCTGAAGTTACAATTCCTTTGTTCTGTATCAGATTGTTTTCTGTAATAAACATATATTTAATGTTGCACAGAATAATGAGGAAATCTTTGAAGAATTTATGAATGTTTTTGTCACACATCCTGAGATATGTAAAAATCAAATTAAGCAATAATAAGATTCAATTTTCTTATTTTAACTTGAAATAATGAAATAATGGAAATTTTTTAAGCAAAACTTGCACAAATAAGTAAATATTTCCTACCTATATTAGAGCTATATATATGTTTGCTCCCAATAATTTTTAAACATATATGTAAGTATACCATAATATTTTTTCATGTTTGAATATGTACATATTAATATTCTTTCCACTTTCTGTTTTACTTTTTATGGAATAACATTTATATTAAACTAAAATTTAATTACTACATAAAGAACTATAGCATAGTGGGAAAACAAACTGCAATCTCATACAGAACTATCTTCTTATAAGCAGCAGCTAATATCACACAGTCACAGCCTGCATGGTGAACAGAAAATACACATATAAGGCAAATGCCACATTGTAACAAACAGATTTTTAAAATTATATTTTAGAAGTCCTTTAACATTAACCACTATCTGGTTTTTCTTGTCTTTTTTTCTAGTTCTTTACTGAATTTATGTACAGAATTTATGTACTTATTTACAGAATTAAGGTAGCTGATATACACAATTTTACAACAGAGTTACACCACTTTTCTACTTTTCTTTTTCCCTTGTTACATTTCTAAACATCTTATTTATGTTTTAAATTCACATTGCACTCAAGACCTTAATTTTTTTCATTGAGTGTTTCAAACGAAAGTAAAATGACCACAGTCTAATAGGTAAGGGCTATAAATATCATGAAATGAAAAACTATGTTTCAATCACACACAGTTTACAAACACAGATCATTAAAATGAGAGTAGAATATCATTTTTCACCATTTGTTTGGCAAAGATATAAATCAAAGATCCCATTTTTGTTTTTGTTGCTTGTGATTTTATAAGCTACTCTGCATAATAAAATGTCATATCTGTATATCCATATTTAGGATATTTCACTGAACATCTTACCCTCTAGTTACAGCTATTTTGATGAAATCCACAGAATTTTATTTTTCACAGCTAACAGTCTATTGTATACATAGAGTGTGTTTTTGTTATTCAGTCATCTAATGATGGACACCTCTATTCATGCCATATTTGGGTAT